CCACTACTTCCTTCCTTTGTTTCTTTTTTAACATCACTTAGAAGCAACTTTTCATGTAACAGTTTATCAAAAAAAGGCCCAAAAAATTAAATTAGCCAATATGCTTTATTTCAATACTACAACTAACAAACATCGATATAATCTGCTTACTGCAAATGAAGTAGCAGTTATTTTGCCTTAAGATGGTTTGACACCTGAGGCAATACACGATATAATACTGCAATTACATAGAGGTCCACTTGAGCGTATTCATGAAGGGCATCCAGTATATCTATTACTATTTTTTTTCTATATGGTGAACTTGGTTGGCATACAGAATTGGTCAGACCTTAGTCGATAACTTGGAACAACAAATTGATGATCAAAGTAAAGCTCCAAGACTCATCCAAATAGATTTTTATGCTTATTGTCTTTTTTCGCAGTGTATCGAATTTTCCTTTATTTATCAAGGTGAGAAATTGTTTCAAGAATTCTTGTTAGATACCTAGGCAACAACAGAACAAATCAGATTAAGATACTTGTATATACATCAGGGTATATTGAGAGCTGATGTTTATCAAGGACTTTCTGACACGGTTAGACATATTGCAAGTAAAAAAGTTAATTTGAATAATCTTGAACAATGCATAATTCTATCATCTACATATACTGAAAGTACGTAACATATGTTTAAAATTTTTTAGAATTTGATAGCAATAACTCGATTTTTTCATCATCTTGATATTTTTAAAACTATAACAGCAAACCCGAATTGGCCTAAAATCGTTAATGAATTATTTCCAGGTTAAATTGCAGCAGACAGACCAAAATGAATAATATTTTTAGAAAAGTAGCAGTCTATATATATACAATTGAATTTTAGAAACACAGCCTCCTGCATATACACTTTCTACTTTTTCTTCATAGTGATGACAAAATAAAAGAGCCTATTGATATTAATTATATTGTTAGTACGGAGTTTCCTGACCAAGAGGCAAATCCAATACAGTTTAAAACTATACTACGCTATATGATTTATGGTCCATGTGGTAAACGTAATTCTAAAGCTTCATGTATAGAAAATAGCGTATATAAAAAAAATTACTCAAAGACTTTTGTGGGATATTGATAGATATCTATATTATGCAAGAAGAAATGATGGTCGTAAGTATACTGTGAATAGCAAACTTATCGATAACAGAGACATAGTACCATACAGCCTGTATCTTAGCCGAAAATATAATTGTCATATAAATATCAAAGTTTGTATTTCTGTTCGAGTATATGTTCACTTTAAAACTTGCTAATTTCAAATACTAATACTTGTATTTATTAATATTTTATACTTTTTTCCTATTAATAATTTTTTACTTTGTAGGCAGTTAAATATATCCATAAGTATATCTACAAAGGCTATGACTGAACTACTATGCAATTTGGATGTGAATCTGATGAAATTAAGCAATTTCTCGATGCAAAGTATATCAGTACGCCAGAGGTGGCATGGAGATTATTTGGAATGCGCTTACACGAAGAAATACTAAATGTTGTAAGATTAGCATTGCACTTATCTGGAATACACAGAATTGTCTTTGATCCAAATAATGAAGCTGCAAAATCTTTTCCAATGCAGAGCGTCAAAAAACTACTCTAACTGCATTTTTTGAGACATGTGCCTCTTTAGAACTTGCCCGTCAATATACATATCAAGAATTTCTACAATACTTTGTATAGAATAAATCGGTCAAGAAATAGACAATTCGAAAAAAAGGGTTTGCTATTGGTAAATTGTATTTCACTAACCTGTCATCTGGCAAACGTTATTATCTTTGACTTTTGTGCACTATTGTTTGTGGTTCACAATCATTTGATCATCTAAGAACAGTTAACGGCATTCAGTATCCTACATTTAAAAATGCTTGCATAGCCCTCGGTCTACTTGAAGATGATGATGAATGGGAACTATATTTACGAGAGGCTTCAATTATATGTAGTGGTTCACAGTTGAGAGCATTTTTCACAATAATTCTTATACAATATGCTTCAACTTTTTCAGAAAAATTATGATTGAACTTTCATACCAATATTTGCGATAATCTTAGGTATCGTTTATGTAATGATTATGATATCGAAAAGCCTACTAAGAATCAAATGGGGTTGAGTCAATAGAAACCAAGCAAATTTTTTTTAATGCTTTTTTTTTAAATTTTAAACAAGAATAATTTAACAAAAACTTAATCAAATTTGATAAATTTTTTTTAAATTAATTATACAAGTTAGTAAAAATTATTTAAAAAAATTTTTATTAAATTTGATTAAGTTTCTGTAAAGTTATTCTTGTTCAAAATTATAAAAAATCTTTATTATAAAAAATTTGTTTGATTTCTATTAACTCAACCCCAAATATTTAACTACGGTCTTTATCTTATTGATAAAATCCTTCAAAATTCAAATTACTCATTTGCTATGTATCTCCAAATACCTTTTTGGAAGCGTGATTGGGGTCATAGTCACAGAAATCATCTTATTAACAAACAGTTTATATGGGATCGTATTGAACTTCAATCTTCTGCAGATGATCATATCTTGAAGCTAAATGATGATCAGCATGCTGCATATTACAGTATTTTAGATTCTGTATTAAATGGAACAGCCAATTTATTTTTCTTGAATGGCTCTACTAGAACTAAAAAATGGTTGTTTATAATATGTTAGCAATGAAACTGCGCACTGAAAGCAAAATTGTAATTTGCGTTGCTTCCTCAGATATTGCAGCTCTTTTACTTCTCAGGAGGTGTATAGCATATTCTATTTTTAAAATTCTGCTTGATGTTAATGAAGATTCTATTTGCCTAATTGAAAAGAATTCTGATTTTGCTGAACTAATCTGCCATACAATATTAATAATTTGGGATGAAGTACTGATGCAAAATCAGGTTGGCTCGGAAGCTGTAGACTGAACTTTACATGATATTCGTAATAACAATCATCTGTTTGGAGGTGTAACTGTTGTTTTTGGTAAAGATTTTAGACAAATCTTGTCAGTTGTCGTCAAAGATTTCAGGAAACAAATAGTTGCTACTTCAATTTAACAATCACATCTCTGGTACTATGTTATCATACTTATTTTACGAAAAAACAAGTGTTTTGAGACTGTATCAAATAAATATCAGGACTTTGCTAATTGGCTTTTAGAAGTATGCATTTTGGATATAATTTTGTCGATTATAGCTAGTGTAGCCTTCTTATAGTTAGATTTGCCTGGCGAAAGCTGGTACTTGCAAAATTAAATTATCAAAATTAATAATCTTTTAATCCATTTCTTATTATTATTACTTATGCTTATTTTATAAGGTTAGAAATGAAAATTATATATCTGAGCAGAATAATATAATTTTACTTTCTGAAAATATGAAAGTTGATCCTAGCATTTAATCTCTTATTGATATTACCTATCCTGATATTCAAATAGGTGCATCTAATGATAATTATTTAAGAGATAGAATGATACTATCTGCTTGAAATGACAACGTTCAGGATATCAACAATGTTATTCTTGACATTTTTCTGGAGAAAAGTGTACTTATCTAAATATTGATAAAGCTGTAATTGAAGATGGTGCTGACAATAGCAATATATGCTTCATCAAGTATTTAAACACACTTAATCTATCTGGAATACCACCTTCTAAACTTGATCTGAAGATTAGCTATCCTATTATACTGCTGCAAAACCTAGCTCCATACATAAGACTTTGTAATAGCTCTTGCTTAATTGTAAATCGCTTAACTGATCATGTTATCAAAACATGTATTCTTTGTGGAGACCATGCTAGAAAAACTATTTTCATTTCCTGAATTACTTTGACACTATTTGCAACGAATTTATCATTTTCCTTTATAAGAAAACAGTTTCCAATTTGTCTTGTGTTTGCTTTAACTATAAATAAGTTTCAAGATTAATCTTTAGTGCATGTTGGCCTGGATCTCCAAACTGGTATTTTTTTACATAGCCAGCTTTATATAGCTCTCTTTTAATATACCTCTCCAGATCTGATCAAAGTTCTTTTTTTTTAAAGTAACAATGATTGTACAACTGTAAATATTGTTTACTCTGAAGTTCATTATGAAATTAATAAAGTGTGGTATTAGTTTTTGTTTAATATATTGTGAAGTATTTTCCTCTTTACTAAGTGTAGTTCATGAATATCTTATACAATGTGTTTTAAAAATTGCTAAACATATTTTTTTTTAATTAATTTATATAGAAATAAAAATACTTTTTTGTAATCTCTATTTTAGATCACTTAAAAAACTAATATATTTATTAAATTTCAAAATACCTGTGCTAATTAATAATATCAATATTCGAAAATATCAGTCTACAGCCCTAATGTTTACTAATAACATGATAAATTGTTTAAATGTAATAGTAATATTGTCTTATTACAATTCGTTTCTGATTATATACTAATTTTACCTCAAACTCTAAATTTTTTATGTAAAAAAATTGTGTATTTAGTAACTACTGTTATTGCATAACTTAAATTTATTCACTTATGATTGAATTAAAATAATTATATTTGTTTATAAAAAATTACTGTATATATTTTTTATCTATATTGTTATTTGCAACGTGAGAATATATATAAGTATTAAGGCCAAAATTTTACGTAAATTTATATTATATTTGCTTGCTATCATAATAAACTATTATTTTGACAACTTTATATAATTGGCTATTTAAGTTAATTTAATTTCACATTAATTATATGGTTTAAATTACTTTGTCAAAAAATTAAAATTACGAGAAAAGCAAAAACTTAATTTTTTTAAGTTTTTAGAATTCTAATATTAAAGCACTTGATATTTTTTATTTTAGAAATTATGATTGAATTTCCTTTGCATTAAAATATTTTTAAATAGTTCAAGATATGATCTAAAGTACCTGCATATTTTATATGGCAGTATTCTAATTGTTTATTATTATATGTTAATAAACTCAGTAACCCAACTATACTACTTTATATCAAACTTTTTCCTTTATATCACTTATTACAGGGTTAAATAGTTCTATACGTTCTGAAATCCTGCTTAACTGTTTCTCGCTCAAAATACTTTTATTAAACACTAGATTCGTTTTACTACTACTTTCACGATCAAGTTTTACTTATCTTTTTTACAATACCACTTATTGCTATAATGATTTCTAACTACTTTTCTTTAATTGTTGTCTCTATTTATATTTATTCCATACTATTTATATCATTTATGCTTCCTTATACTTTAACAAACTTTTAATTATCTCTCTAATTACATTGTATTACCATCATTATTACATTGATTAATATTCACTTGAAATGTGATCTTGATAATGCTACCTGACAAAATCGACCTGTCATAATATGGCCTGTTTGTACAATCACCTGATGCAGTCAATGTATATTTTTGACCTTCTTTTATTTTCTAGGCTTACTATACAACTCATTATCAATCACTAATCCTCTAATCAAGTTTAAAGTTGTTTTAGAACTATCTAATATTACTTTTACCTGAATAAATAATTGTAGTTTTTATTTAAATTGAGCATAGAAATAACTGTTTTTGATGATTTTATATTCACTATTATATTAACAAGTTATTTATTACTCCTTCAGCAGATTAGCCTCTTTACTTTAATATATTATATGTATTCTAATATAACTTAATTATATATAATCTAAATATATATTATAACACTGCATTTCTAAAAGATTGTACTATAGAATAGGCTTATTATAAGTAGTTTGGAACACGCTATTATATGGGGG